GTGTAGCATTTGTTGGGTTTTGGACTCTAAATATGAAATTGTCACCTGATCAGGAGGAGGACAGTATACACATTTATCTAGTCGACCAGGCCTAAGCAGGGCAGGGTCAATCAAGTCAGGGCGACTAGTAGCAGCCAATACATAAACACCTGGAGGGAAAAACACCATTTTTAGAAATTAAAACCCAGTAACATTTGGTTTTAACAGTACATGTTTGTATTTACAATTATTACCCTGTAAGCCTTCTACGCCATCCAGCTGAGTCAGCAACTGGTTAACCACACGGTCCGTAACGCCTGTATTATCATGACCTCTTCGAGGAGCAATGGATTCAAACTCATCAAAGAAAAGAATGCAGGGCTTTGCGGCCTGTGCTCTGGGGAAAACAAACATTTCATACTTGAATAGGGCTCTTGAGTTTGTAAAGTTATTTCATAACTATATGTGTGAGTACATATGTATACATGTATGCATGTATTTTAATCATCACAACGAATGCTTACAGAAGGTAAGGCATATGTAATTATCCCTATTTTTGGCAATCTAGGTCTAAGAAAGGTCAAAGAAGTGGGTCATCAGAAAAGTCATGATGTGGGCCAGCAGGTGCCATGCTGGTTAAGGGTGCAGAACTCCCTCATGGTGGACTGCATTTCAAGTCCTGGACCTGGCAACTTGCTTTCTCACTTTTCCTTTCTCTCTCTCTCTCTCTGTCTGGTCAAATTAAAAGAAAATAATAATAATAGCAAATAGAATTAAATAAATAAAGAATTCTTTTTTTTTAAATGAAAAGAAAAGCCATGATGCATTTTTTTATGGAAAAACATGTCATGACTTTTCTGAAGGCCCAATATTTGTCTAAGATTCATACTTTCTGGATAGACTAAGAGGAACTACAACAAAAACTTGAATCTTAATACATGAAACACTTCTTTTGTGAAATCCTTATTCATTTCTTTTGTCCATTCAAACTTTGGCAAGCTCATTATATTATATTGTTTTATAAGGGCTCTCTGTAAGATATATATTACTTATTTTATGTTTTTCTAATATGAACTTTGACTTTTTATCAATTTATTAAGTGATTTTGATTTTCTTTTAAGAGAGATTTTTGCTATAGAGCACATATGCTCACTGAAGAGACACAGAGACAGAAAGACAGAAAGTGAGAAATTATCCCTAAGGGGATTTGGACAAAAATACCTCTTAAAAAAAATATCAGGACCAGCAGTTGACGTAATGACTATGTCGCTGGACTCTCATGTAGCTGACCGCAATTCAAGTCCCAGACCCAGTGCTTAAACTCACACCAGGCACATGTGCATGCATGCCCAAGATCCCGAGAGGAGAATGGAGGAGAAGGGACTGCGGTGTGGCCATTCCCCCAGGAGGTGATTTCTTGCTTTCTGTCTCTCTGTCACTTTCTGTCTTTCTGGCAAGCGCACACGCCCTATAGCAAAAACCTCTCAAAAAAAAAAAATTAATATCTAGAATGTTTATATTTAAGTAATATTTGATAAAACAAGGTTTTTGTCCTCTAGTTTAACAGTTCTCGTAAATCACAGGTTTCAAATATCCATTCTTCAAAAAAGACCAAAATAACATTACTTGATAAATAATTATACTGGGGCTGGCAGGTGGCATGGTGGTTAAGGGGGCTGGACTCCCTCATGGCTGACTTAGGTTCAAGTCCCGGACCTCACAACTTGCTTTCTCACTTTGCCTCTCTTTCTCTCTCTCTCTCTCTCACTCTGTTCCTCTCTGGTCAAATTAAAATAAACAAACAAACAAATAAATATAGATTAAAATTTTTTTAAATTCTTGATAAATAATAATACTGTCAGTTACTTAAAAAAAAAATCCAGAGGGAACCAACCTAATGAAAATATCCCGAACAGCTTGTTCACTTGCTCCAATGTACTTGCTGAGTAACTCTGGCCCCTATTGGGTAAAATAAAACTTGAGTTGAGACAAAGTTATTTAAAAGCAAAACACAACTTTGATTATTGACTAAGTTCAATGAATCATGGAAATTTCAGTATGATCTACTGAATATATGTTAAATACATTTAAAAAAGTAATGTGTACTGGAATGATTATTATGCCACAAGTTCTACACGTGGCATTTCCTCTGCCTGGAATACTTGTCCCCAGATATTCTCATGGCTTATTGCCAAATGCCATCTCTCCAGAAAATTACTGTCTGACAACCCCATGTGTGACCCACTCCAGTTATTCTTGCACCCTTACTCTGCTCCTCTTCCTCCTGGGGACTTAGCACCAGATAGTGGGTTATACGCTGGGGTTCTCCATCTGCTTCTTGGTTCTTCCTTTTAGCAGAATGTATGCTCCAAAGTGGTGGTTTTGTTTTGTTTATTGCTGAATCCCTAGTGTCAAAACCAGTGCCTGCCACTGAATAACCATTTGTTTAATGAAGTAACGAATGGCTTCAAAAGGGACAAAGTTGGTTTTTTTTTTTTGGAGAGGTTTTTGCTATAGGATGCGTGTGCTTGCCAGAGAGAGACAGAGAGACAGAAAGCGAGAAATCACCCCCCAGGGGGGACGGACACGCCACAATCCCTTCTCCTCCATTCTCCTCTCGGGATCTTGGGCACACATGTGCCTGGTGTGACTTTAAGCCACTGAGTCTGGGACTCGAACTGCGGTCGGCTACATGACAGTTCAGCAACATAGCCATTATGCTAACTGCTGGTCCCGGGACAAACTCTTTGAAACTCAAAATAAAAACAATAAATAAATAAATGGGGAGATAAGACTTACTCTAATTAGCATCTTCAATTACAAATAAATCCAATTTATTTGTATAGAATATATCATCTTTCCTTGACACTGACTGAAAACACTGACTGAAAAAATTTTTAAAACAAATTTCATTACCTATAGAAAATCAATGAAAAGAATCTTATTAAACTGGGATCTTTGAAAAACCTGAATCAGTCCTAAAGTGATTTCCAAAAATTACCCCAAATGTGGAAAAGACCAAATACAGATCAGAATATGTGACCAAAATAAGGAATTTCTTTTTCTTTTTTTTTCTAGAGAGATTTTTGCTGTAATGTGAGTGCATTCTCCAGAGAGACAGAGAGGTACAGAGAGAAAGAAAATGAGAAATCACCCCCTGAGGGGGAGCCATGCCACAATCCTTTCTCCTCTGATCTTCTCTCAGGATTTTGGGCACGCACACACATGAACCCTGCGTGAATTTCAAACTGCCGGGTCCAGGACTCAAACTGTGATCAGCCATGTGGGAATTAACCAAAGTAACCATTACACCATTTGCCGGTCCCAAACAAAGAATGTGTAATGCTCGGCCATCTAGACATCTACAAATACGCTAGTATCTAATTTCTTCAGTACAGTCAGAGAACTACAGGAAGAGGGGATGGCATGAAAAATAACTAGGGCGAGATATCAGGAACATGGCAAAGCACTGGTATCAGTGAAAGCCTCCGAGGAGTCACCCTGAGTCAAACAAAGAAAATTAGCTCTCTGGAACCTTCCCACTGGGAACTCAGCCCAAATCGTGGTGTGATTATTTACTAAAGAGAAGGTGTCCTCTCTAATGGAACAATCACCATTTACAAGCTTTAATCTTACAAGTCATGTTTTTGTTTTAATAGTGAAACCACATTCTAGTGACAAGTATAAAAAGAAGAGTATGGTCATGGTTATTCCAGAATCCAGGAAAAGGAAGATAGAAAATTTTCAGTTTTAAGTGTTTCTCCACCATTGCCAGGGCACTACTCATGCACATAGCTCACAAAAAATTATGTGATAGAAGTGGGTAGGCACAGACCAGCATGAGATGTGGTGTTTGTTAAATCCCTGGACTCCCACAGCCAACAGTGGTTTGAGTCCTGGACCTGATGGCATGCTTTCTTATTTCCCTCCCTCTCTGTCTCTGGTGAAAACACATACCCTATAGAAAATTTTTTTAAAAAGGGACCAGCAGTTAGTGTAATGGCTATGTTGCTGAACTCCAATGTAGCTGACTGCAGTTCGAGTCCTGGACCCAGTAGCTTAAACTCACACCAAACACGGGTACGTGCGTGCCCATGATCCTGAGAGGAGAATGGAGGATTAGGGATTGTGGCGTGGCCATCCCCCCTGGGGGGGTGATTTCTCACTTTCTATCTCTGTGTCTCTCTCTGGCTTTCTGGTGAGCGCATGCGCCCTATAGCAAAACCCTCTCCAAAAAAAATTTTTTTTAAATAATAATAATTAATAAAATTAAATAACTAATTCCACAGTGGGTAGGTAAAACTCAATTACAATGGGACCAGCAGATGGGGACCAGCAGAGTGCATAATGATTACATTGCTTGACTTCCAAGTAGTTGACCATGGTTTGAGCCCTGGACCCGGACGCTTAAAACTCATGCCAGGAGCATGTGCATACATGCACAAAAATCTTGAAAGACTGGAGGAGAAGGGATTGCAGCCTGGCCATTCCTCCAGAGGAGGTGATTTTGTGCTTTCTGTCTTTGTGTCTCCAGCAAGCACATGTGCCCTATAGCAAAAAATCTCTCTCTCTCTCTCTCTCTCTCTCTATATATATATATACACTAAAAATCCAATTACAAATTACTAAACTAGCATTCAGATTATAGAGCAACTATGAATTAAATAATTAATTATTTATTTCCATGTGTTGTTGCTATTTTTTAATTTGACCAGTGAGAGAGATAGAAAGATAGAGAAAGGGAAAGTGAGAAGCAAGCTGCCCGGTCCAGGATTTGAACCATGGTTAGCCATGTGGGAGTCCAGCACCTTAACAAGCACACCACTTGCTGGCCCCAGCAATTATGAATTAAAGCTAGACAATATATGATTCTTTTGCATTGAACTCTCATCATTCTTTGTAAATCAGACTGCTAGTGTGCTGAAACTGTAAGACTAAGATACTGGACTCCAGACCATGATGACAACAGCAGTGGCCTGAGGCACTACCAAAATGATCAGCAAGCATGCCCCTTAATTACCTTACTCACCTTCTACCTGAAAAGGTGTAGGCCTAGTGTGACACATGCAAGGGTGAAATACAGCAACAAGAAAGAGAACCATTAAAACTCTAGCTTCCAGGACCAGCAGTTAGTGTAATGGCTATGTCACTGGAATCCCATGTAGTTGACCACGGTTCGTGTCCCGGACCTGGTGGCTTAAAACTCACACTGGGCACGTGTGCGTGTATGCCCAAGATCCCGAGAGGAGAATGGAGGAGAAGGGATTGTGGAGTGGCCATCCCCCATGGGGGGTGATTTCTCGCTTCCTGTCTATCTGTCTCTCTCTGTCTGGCGAGCGCATGCGCCCTATAGCAAAAACCTCTCAAAAAAAAAAACAAAACAAAAACCAAAACAACTCTAGCTTCCCATCTCTACATTTCCTTCTCCTTTTAAGTACAGTTTACCCTTTTATCTGAATACTTATACATAATTCTGTTTACAATGCATGAAGATTTGCCTTAGGTAAGAACGTAGCAAGCCTACAAGAAAGAGGTTGCACATTACTCGATTTCACACAGCTATAACAGATGGCCTGGGTGTTCCCACCAGCATTCCCAACATGAGACTAACCCACAATTGAACAACATAAGTGGTGTTGGTGAGGAACCCGAACACACTGCTAGTGAGTGTGTAAAATGGTGCAGTTCCTATGAAAAACAGTTGATGGTTCTCGAAAAATTCAAGAGAAGTACCCTATGATTCAACTATTTTATTCTTCATATATACTCAAGAAAAATGAAAACAAATGTTTCCAGAGAAACTTGTACACCAACACCAACGTTTATAGCAACAATACTCAAAATAATCAAAAGGGAAAAACAACCCAAATATGTATCAATGATGAATGGATAAAGTGAAGCATGGTGTACACACACACCACACACACACACACACACACACACTGGAATATTATTCAGTCATAAGAAGGAATGAAGTATTGCTATCTCTATAACTTGGATGAATCATGAAAACATTAAGCTAAGCCAAAGCAGACAGACATAAATGGCCATAGATTACACAATTCCTTTTTTTGAGAGAGTGATTTTTGCTACAGGGTGCATGTGCTCACTGGAAAGACAGAGACAAAAAGAAAGCAAAAAAATCATCCCCCCCCCCAAAGGGATGGCCACACCACAATCTCCTCTCCTCCATTCTCCTCTTGGGATTTTGGGCATGCATGTACATGCACCCAGCATGAGTTTTAAGCCATCGGGTCTGGGACTCGAACTACGGTCAACTACATGGGAGTCCAGTGACGTAACCATTATGCCATCTGCTGGTCCCACATGATTCCTTTTGAATGAAATGTACAGAACAGAGAAAGAAAGCAGATTAATAGCTGCCAGGGGCTGGGTGGAAGAGTGTGGATAAAGTTTTGAAACTAGAGAGAGGTGGTGGTTGGCAACCTTGTGAATACAGTAAATGTCACTGAACTACATACTTTAAAATGGTTAATTGTATGTTATGACAATTTTTACCTTAATTAAAAACTCACAAAAAAAAAAAAGGAAAAAGGAAAGAAAATGAACAACATACCTTGATACTAATAAAATTCATTCTACTCTCTCGTGCAATTACCCCAGCTAGTAAGGTTTTTCCTGTTCCAGGAGGACCATACAATAGTACTCCTGTTCTTTGTCGTATGGGCAAGTTTGCAAATAATTCTGGGTACTGAGAAATAAAAACATGAAAAAGCTCAATTCTAAACAGAAATGACTAAGCAGTAGCAAAAAGGCAATGTATCGATAAAACTATTCAGATGATAACTGTCACCTTTATTCAGATGATAACTGTCACCTTTCTTTATTAACAGTAAACAAAATAATGAACTCAATGGAACCACCACAGATTTGCCCCAATTGAACCAAGACATACATTCTAGATCAAATGTATATAACTGCATCAGAACTTCTTCCAATTTTAGCTATTTTTAAACATTATAAAAGTACTACATTAAGAAAATTAAAACCAATCTCTTAAATACACTGCCCTTCACTTGCATGGTTCATGGGGCAAGTTATGACAGTTATATATTCAAATATTAATTCATTCAGACAGTAAAATCTCCGCCAAGTCTCCAGGCTGAGCCAGCAACCTTCTGCTTCTTAATTACTTTCTAAAGCACTAACTGTCAAAGAGCGAGAGAACTTTTTGGACAGGGAAACCAGACATCACGCTCCTGTCAGCAATCTCCTGGTCTCCTCCTCCATATGCCTGTTTAGTTCCACTGTTGACAAAATTGCAACACACCTACCCTCTACCCCCCATTCTAATCTGAAAGAGGCCCGAAGTCAGCAGCTACCATTTGGTCTCCAGGTTTCTAGACACTAATACCCGATCCTGCTTGTTAGTACTTCCATGCCCATGTTCCTTCTTGCAGGCTCTAACCCACAGTCCTGGGCTGTATGAACAGGTCCCAGGTTCAACAGCCACTGTCCTCAGGAGTTGCCATCCAGTTACATGCAACCCAAAGTCCTCACCCATTTCTTTACCTCTTTGTGTGGGTTCGTAGTCGCATGTGATTTTTCTCTCTCAGGTCTCTGATTCAAAAGCATTACCTCCTAGACTCTACCATCTGATCTTCTGAAAAATATCTTACATCTGCTCCCTTTGTCCTGCCATCCCCCTCTGCAGCCTGCCAACCCTGCCTTTTGACTGACAGCCATAGTCTGGAATTCTTGTTTGATCTATCAGTCCTATGGATCTACATGGTTTTTCAAATTCCCAACTTATTCCTCTGTTTCTATTCAAATTCCACCAGACAGTTCAGTTTGCTTTATTACAATCAGAATGACTGAAGCGAAACAGAATTATGAAATAAACATCAAAATATGTTCACTGTAAGTACCATCCCAGCTTTCCGTTATAGGTTTCTATGCACAAGGAGTATAGCAAATACTTTTAAAAATCTATTAAAGTCCCCAAAATAGTGCTAGATATTTATATGGTAACTCTGTAAATGTTTGTTGAATCAAACTGAGATTGGCAAGCCGACACATAAAGCCAAAGCCAATGATGCAGTGGTTCTTCTAGAAGTGTTTGCAATTTTTGTTTTTGAAGTACCTTGGCTGGTAACTGGATAGTATCCATGAGTATCTGCCGAACTTCATGTAACCCACCGATCTTATCCCAGCCCAGGTCTCTAGGTTTATGCAGGCTGACATTTCGCAGAGATCCAGGAATAAATCCTTGGAGAGCCTTTTCAAAGTCCAATGTTGTTAAAATTAATTCTGTTTAAAAATAAACAAAACTTCATTTGGTAATCATGTTTCAATACATGAATTTTCAAAATATGCCATTATCTTAGCTGGAAATGCCAATTTTCTACTCAACTGCTTATTCCCATATTAAAACAAAATATATTTAATTCTTGCCTATTACACACATATTTCTCCACAAAAGAGAGAAGACTCCAAGTTTAAGGGTTTTTTTCTTTTAGATGGTGGGGAGTTTTTTGCTATAGGGCGTGCGCTCACCAGAAAGACTGATAGAGAAAGAGAGACAGAAGGCAAGAAATCATTCCCCCTAGATGGGATGGCCATGCCACAATCCCTTCTCCTCCATTCTCCTCTCGGGATCTTAGGCACACATGCACATGCACCCAGTGTGAGTTTAAGACACAGGTCCAGGACTCGAACCACAGTCAAGTACATGGGAGTCCAGTGATGTAGCCATTATGCCATCTGCTGGTCCCACATTTAAGGTTTTAATAGTAAAACGGGGGCCAGCAGGTGGCATGGTGGTGAAGGCACTGGACACTCCCACATGGGTGACCATGGTTTGTGACCCAGACCTGGTAGCTTGCTTTCTCACTTTCCTTCTCTTTGTCTCTCTCTCTCTGGTCAAATTAAAATAAATGAATGAATAAATAAAATTAAGTAAATAATTCTTTTTTAAAAAACAGTAAAACATACCTTCCTTGGTAGATATGCTCTGATGAGAGAGACAAGAATGTATCGCCCGGTCCACAAGCACTGTGAAATCTCGAGCCACAAACCCTTCGGTTTCTTTAGCTACACGCTGTAGGTCAATATCAGCAAACCTGTTTATATTGCAGTCCAGTTTATTTTTTATTATGTTCTCTAGAATTTCACATCTTTGCTCCTAAAGGAAAAAACACAAAATTTGCATTTCTAATTATATTCCACTATATATTTTATAAGAGTATACATATTTGGAGGAAAACCAGGTTGACATAATTTCTAGTGACAGAAAGCAGATTAGAAGATGTCTGGGCCTGGAGTAGGGGAAAAATGGACTGCAAAGGGGTACTAGGAAAATTCTGAGAATCACAGGAATGCTTGTTACCATAATTGTGGTAACAGTTTCGTGGTACCTATATATCTAAAAAACTGATCAAATTGGGGATCAGCAGTTAGCATAATGGCTATGTTGCTGGACTCCCACGTAGTCGACCATGGTTCGAGTCCCAGACCCAGCAGCTTAAAACTCACATTGGGCGCGTGTGCGTGCGTGCCCAAGATCCTGAGAGGAGAATGGAGGAGAAGGGATTGCGGCGTGGCCATCCCCTCTGGGGGTGATTTCTCACTTTCTGTCTCTCTTTCTGGTGAGCACATGAGCCCTACAGCAAAAACCTCTCAAAAAAACAAACAAACAAACAAACAAACATACAAAAAAAACGGTCAAATTGTATGCTTTAAATATGTGAGTTTGTAGTACTTCAATTTTAACCTCAATAAACTGTAGAAAACTACATCGATCAATGATTGCCAATAAGAGGCATTTCTCCATTAAGAAGCATTTCCAGGAACCAGCAGATAATGTTACATGGCTGGACTCCCATGTAGTCGACCACAGTTTGAGTCCTGGACCAGGCAGCTTGAAACTCACGCCTGGCATGTGTGCGTGCGTGCCCAAGATCCCAAGAGGAGAATGGAGGAGAAGGCATTGCAGGGGGGCCATCTCCCCCTGGAGGGTGATTTCTCACTTTCTGTCTCTCTGTCCCTCTTTGTCTCTCTCGTGAGCATATGTGCCATATAGCAAAAATCTCTCTCTTTAAAAAGAAAGAAGCATTTCAAGTTATACATGATTTAGTTCTTCTCAGAACGCTTTGTGGTACCAGGATTAGGCCCACTAAAGACCTTCTGACCAGATTTCATCCTCCTGCCCCCAAGATCTAGCCAGGAGTCAGGGCAAGCCAATCATCAGCCATCTATATCTGAGTTCTGAGGGGCCCCATCCAGGGATTAGGCCCACTGAAGATCTTGTGCCCAGACTTCACCCTGCTGACCTCCAGGGCCAGGTCAGAGCACCCTATTTATTCTTTCCGTCTCTCTCCATCTCTATTTTTAAAATCTCTTTAAAAATTTTAAAACTTCTTAGCTCTCTGCTGCTCTTTCATCTTGCTAATTCTTACCTCTCCCCTTGCCCCCATAGGACAAGTCAATCACCGGCTATCTATATCTGAGTTCTGAGTGACCCCATTTGTGTGGTGTGCTCTTTTTTTCATTTTTTGTTTTAAAATTTGTTTTCTTTTTTTTTAACTGTTCTCTCTCTCCCCGCCCCCTCTCTTTTTACCTTTCTGACTTTTCTGCTCAGCCTCCACACACTGATTTTCTAGACAGGTCTAGGTGCTTAGCAGCCAAATATCTGAATATTTTTAGGGTCAGATTAATTCTCAATTTCCATTGAATCTGCTGCACAAAGAGAGAAAAATGGTACTCCTGCATGCCTCTGAATGCTCAGATTTAATCCCAAAAGCTAGAAAAAAACATATAATCCATCATATGACCAGAAACCATCACAGAGGCACAAGAAATATTAGAAACCAAGAAAATCTCTCTCCTCTAGTGGAAAAGAATAACTCCTCATCCTCCACAGACAATACAATGTCAGATAAAGAATTTAAAAGTCATAGTGACAAAGCTAACAAAGATGCAAGAAAGGAGAGACAATAAACTCCAGAAGACACAGGAGAAAAGAGACGAGTTCCAGGAGGTGTGGAAATTCTTGCATGATCTGAAAGAAGAAATACACACCATAAAAAAGAATCAAATGGAGACCAGCAGTTAGCATAATGGCTATGTCGCTGGACTCCCACATAGTCGACTGCGGTTCGAGTCCCGACCTGGTGGCTTAAACTCACACTGGGCGCATATGCATGTGTGCCCAAGATCCCGAGAGGAGAATGGAGGAGAAGGGATTGCGGCATGGCCATCCCTCCTGGGGGGTGATTTCTCGCTTTCTGTCTCTCTGTCTCTCTCTGTCTGGCAAGTGCACGTGCCCTATAGCAAAAAGTCTGCAAATGGGATAACTAGTCTGTGTTGGAAACTTAACCCCACTGGCTCACTGGGGTCTCTGGAAATTCTGCATGGAAATGCAGTTGAGAAGGGGCTCTTAATTCTGCTTAATTTCCTTTTAACGTTATAATTATATGTATATATTTTTGCTTTGTTTAGTTTTTTAGTATTTATTTATTATTATTTATTATTATTATTTAATTTGACCCAAAGAGAAAGAGAACGAGAGAAGGGGAAAGTGAAAGAGCTAAGTCACCAGGTCCAGGATCTAACCGCGGTCAGACACGTGAGAGTCCAGGACCTTAACCACCAGGCCACCTGCCAGCCCCAATATTTTAGGATTAAAGGTAAGTTTTTCCTAAAGTTTGTCAGTCACAAAAATACTTAAGTATAGTAACAAGAGTAAGGAATATATTTTGTTTTTAAAGAGAGTATGAGCACTACCAATCCAAGAGAAGTATTTCATGTCTGCAAATTATCCTCTACCAAAAAAAAAGAAGAGAGGCCCACATTGCACTGATCAGTCAAGGGTTTCAGAGCACCAGAAAGTGTGACTCCCTACTTACCCACCTTCCCATGCATCTAGACTGGTTCATTTTTCTCTGGCATCATAGAAAGCTGCTTGGAATGCATAAACAACCAAAGCCTAGTATGTAGTTACTCTAAAAATGTTATGTTACTATTAGTTCCCATTTAAGTAGAGATAATTTAGGAAGAGACATGTATTTTTCAAACACAACATACATTACTATTACTTGTGAATAACATCTTGCCCTATTAAACTGCTAGGCTTCTCAAAAAACAACTTGGGAACCGCCATCTTCCAGTAATTAACCCAAATGACGAACACAAAGAGAAAGAGGAGAGGCACCCGATATATGTTTTCTAGGCCTTTTAGAAAACATGGAGTTGTTCCTTTGGCAACATATATGCGAATCTATAAGAAAGGTGATATTGTAGACATTAAGGGAATGGGTACTGTTCAAAAAGGAATGCCCCACAAATGTTACCATGGCAAAACTGGAAGAGTTTACAATGTTACCCAGCATGCTATTGGCATTGTTGTGAACAAACAAGTTAAGGGCAAGATTCTTGCCAAAAGAATTAATGTGCGTATTGAGCATATTAAACATTCTAAGAGCAGAAGATAGCTTCCCAAAATGTGTGAAGAAAAATGATCAGAAAAAGAAAGAAGCCAAAGAGAAAGGTACCTAGGTTCAACTAAAGCACCAGCCTGCTCTACCCAGAGAGGCACACTTTGTAAGAACCAATAGAAAGGAGCCTAGGACCAGCAGTTAGCATAATGGCTATGTCACTGAACTCCCACATAGCTGACTGCAGTTCGAGTCCCAGACCCGGTAGCTTAAACTCCCGGACCTGGTAACTTAAACTCACACCAAGTGCATGTGCATGCGTGCCCAAAATCCCAAGAGAAGAATGAAGGAGAAGGGACTGCGGCATGATGGCCATCCTCCTGGGAGGTGATTTCTTGCTTTCTCTGTCTCTCTCTGTCTTTCTGGCAAGCACGTGTGCCCTATAGCCAAAAAAAAAAAAAAAAAAAAA